AACCAGAGAGCCAGTTGGGCAGGAAGGCCACTTAGAGTTTTGGTGAGCGGTCAAGGGCCAGGTACTTGCCCCACAACAGCTCACCAAAACTCTCTAAGTGGCTCTGCTCAGATGGGCGGCTAGGGTGGGGCTGTGGACAGGGACATGCAGAGAGTGGATCATGGCTCTGTCCTGGGCCCTGACCCCAGGGTCGTCATAGAGACTGGCTGGGACCCAAGCAGGCAGGGCATGTGGCCAGGTGGATGGGATGGGACTGTGGGTGGGCAGGGAGCTGCATCTTGAAGCAGGCTGGGTGGGCAAGATTTTGGGACAGTGGCAGTGTAGGGCTGGGGCCCAGGGCAGAGCCACAATCTGCCTGTGCACATGGAGCTGGTGCCTGTTGTGGGGTCTTGCGGGCACTCGGCCCCATGCTGTCACTGCCCCATAGGGTCACCACCCATCCTAATTGGGTGGGACAGTCCTGAAATGGGAACATCAAGTCCCGGTCCTGGGCTGCATGACTCTGGGACAGCATTTGTCCCAGATTTGCAGTGTTGTATGGGAATCCAGGTTTTGGGAACAGTGGATTTCCTCTTGCAGGCTGCTTGGGGCTGCCAGGAGTGAGACGCAGGGGGTGCCATGTGCATGTGCGTGCCTGCACACATGCACATGACCAGGAATACAACCAGGCAGCGTAGAGAGCAGCTCCCTGCGGGTAAGTCTAGGGCAGAGAGGTTGCAGGGGGGAGGGGAAGGAGGCAGACTGAGGCCTCCATGGTGAGGGAGGGAGTGGGGCAGGGGCTAATGGAGTTTCCCAGCCAGGGCAGTGCACGGGCCCTGGGGATGGGAGTGGAACAGAGCCATGGGAGGCTTGTTCGGGGGCAGGGTTGTGGTTCCCTGCCATTGTGTGCACTCCCAGGAGAGCATGGGAGAACATATGACCCCCTCAGATTTGTGTGTGGGGTGGGCGCAGATGTGGGCTGCCTGCTGCATGCTTGGGGCTCTCCACCTTGCTGCTCTCCCCCACAGGAGCCCTGTGCTGGCTGTGCCATCGTGGTGAGGCTCCCCCTGCCTGCCCAGCAGCAGTGTGGGAGGTGACGTGGAGTTGTGCCTCATGCTGCTGCTGCTAGGTGGGAAGAGGCAGCTGCAGGGCTCCTGAGGGGAAGACAGCAGGCTGGGAAGTCTCAAACCCACAATGGGCAGCCTGTGGGACCCACTGCAGGCTGGACAAAAATCCTTGGCAGGATGGATCTGGCCCACAGGTCATTTTTTGCCAACCCAGCCCATTTGATGCTGCACAAGGACCCCTTCCCTCCCCTTTGGGGTGCACAGCCCATTATCCTGGGCTCCACTCTTAATTCACTGCACCTCTGCAAAGGGAGCCTCCACAGCCACAGCAGTAGGATTCACCTCAAGTGAAAGGTATGGGAAGACCCTCAAAGTGAACAGAAACAGAGATTTGTAAGGCAGAGATCATACTGGACATGCCCTTCTCTGTGTAAATGCACAGCTGTATTTCCATCACATAATGCAGACCTTCAACAGCCAGGGGCTTCCAGACCTGGCACTACCATTGGGTCAGCTTGCCTACACTACAAAGACTTTCCAGCATAGCCAGCTAGCCCAGTCCATCCTGCGGGTGGAGACCATACTCAGCAGCAAGAGGAATTCCTTCGTGTAGTTAAACCACCTCCCTGAACATCTATGCTAACAAAAGGGCCTGTTTTCTGGTAAGGTGCATCTTACAGGTGGCAGTACACTGATGTAGCTGTGGTGGCTGGGGCCAGTGATTTTTTTTCTCAGCACTAACCAGCATAGATATGTTAAGACAGGGTTATATTAAGTATTTACAAGGCTTCTGTTACCACAGACTCTGAAAACTTGTGTTTCATGATTATCCTCACTCAGGCCTAGGAAGGCAGGGAGGAGCTATCATCTCTGCCTTCCATACAGGGAAACTGAGGCAAAGAGGAAGTCTTTAGCACTACAGGGACTTGAACTTAACTCTCCTGACCCTAGGGTGCTGTCCCATCCATTGAGCCAACCTGGATGAACAAACAGAAGGCTGAATTTGCCCTAAGATCCGGATACTGTAGGTACTTCAGGTGCCTGGAAGGGCTTTGAGCTGGCTTCCACTGTATGGCATGCACATAGCCAACTACACACTATGTATATTACACCTATTCATTGCATGGGAGCTTGCACAGTATATCAACCCCAGAGAGGGTACACTTCATTTCAGAGGAAGATCTTGCTGGCAAACACCTCTGATCTCAGATGAATGAGTGACTGGTGAACTCAAGGAAATCCCCAGCATTCAGAAACCCCTGCATGCCCATGTCACTGGGTCTGATGAGGAAAAACAGGAGAAATCAGACAAACAAGGATGCAATGAAATGGAAAGGGAGAGCTGCCATTAAGATTGTGGCATGAATGCTGCCAGCTGCAGAGGCTTCCATAAGTTATAGAGTGAATTATAGACACATAAGCTGGCAGGGACCACTTTGCCCTGCCCTTCGAAGAGTCACACTCAGGCTGCAGGGCTCAGTAGTAGATTCAGGCTTTATTCATTCACCTTCTGAGGAGGTAAGAGAGCATGGCAGATAATAGTCCTTGGTAGGACTGTGAATCTCATCAGCACTGTATAATGATACTGAGCTTAGCACTGTGGGTGGGAGACAGCAAAAAACTGTGGGAGAAAAGGACTTCATAACCAAGAAGTCAGGGACTGCTGGGATGCAGAATGGCTGTTACTTCAAACTTGGCATCCACAAAATGGAGCAAGTCAAAATAGTGGCCACTTCAAAAATGTGTCCACCAAAAGTTGGGGTTTGTTGCTGCTTTTGCAGATCATGAGGATGGAACCTTTTAGACCAGCAGCTTAGGTCCTGAGGTGGCCAACCATCCATGTGGCCCAGGTTATTAAACAATTTACTAAATAAGCAACAGAGAAAAATTCCACAAAACTGAGGGATGAGCAATCCTAAGGGCTTAAGGACCCAGGAGCAATCCATAGCACGGTTTTACAAAGGAGAAGTGTTCTTGGGCAGAGTCAACTGGGGCTTTTTAAGTGTAGGTACCGTTGATAGGAGACAGACTATGGATTTCAGTACACACCTGTCATAAGACCAGATTTTCAGAAGAGCTCAGTCCCTGGGCTCTGCTATACTGCTCTGAGAAGCTGTCCCTGTGTCTCACAAAATCTTATACTCCACAGCCACAGCATCCAATCTTGACTGGCTCAGGCACCATATAAGCAGTCAACACTCACTAAAGATTCACCACTGCATCTGCATCCCTAATGAACTGTAGCAAACACATGAGTCCAACGGGAAAGAAATAATGCAGGACACCATGGGCAGATGTTTAGCAAATTTCCATCATTGTGACACTGGTAGATGGTCTATGGATGTTTTTTATACAATGCAGTCCACACAGTAAAGAAAACAATTCGCTCTGATGACATTTTCTGCAAAGGGCCACAAGCAATATACTGAGGAGCATTTATGTGACTCCTGAGCCTCAGTCAGAGCTTCACTGCTATAACATGTGACATCTACCCTACACCGAGAGCCTGGGACCTGCGGAGAAGGCACCATTTCAGAGTCTGGAAAGTGGTACTTCCACAATGACAGCCTCAGCCCTGTACTGGATCTAACACAACAGCAAGTGCTACCCAAAATGAACGCCAGGTTCAAAATTCAAATTGCTGTGTGTATGAATCCCAGCTCAGAAACCAGGAAATGGCTTAAAGGACTCCAAACAAAAAAAAGCATCAAGCATGAGCAAAACAACCAAATATCAAGGCAGGGAAATGTTTTGTGTTCAGCCACTTCTTCAGGGTCTGGGTGGAGGGAAAATGCTTCCTGATCAGCAGCAGTGAGCATCAGTGAGGTGAGCAGGAGGAACAGGAAACCCAGAAAGAAACAAAAAGGATGTTGTATGGGAATGGGCCAACCCCACCACGCAACAAGAATCTAAAGGGGAAGAAAATATCTAGCAGGTGATAGGGCTGAAATAGGACTGCAAAAAACAAACTCACAATAGCAGCAAAACATGGACAGTCCAGCCAAGTAGCACATTGTGCAACAGGAATGTAATCTTCTCTCCCTCTCTGACTTCAGACAGGCTGTGTCAGCAGTCTGTTCAGCATCAGGCAGGCCCTGCCAGCAATGCTGCATTTGCACAAGGGGAATCCTGCCCTGTGACTAGGGCTCCTAGGGCTCACAATGGTAGTACAAGTAATACATTAGAATAGTTAGGCCCAGGGCAGCCCACACTATTGACACCACTTCCTGCTAAGGGCAGACCATGTTGGCAATACAGCATTCAACTCCGATCAAGACACAGCTGTGCTGTAGCTCAGGGCTGAGAGCTGATTGGAAAATTTTCAATGATACATCTTTTTCTATGGGGAAATGCTGATTTGTTGATAGAATTTTCTTCAGGAAGGTTTCTCAGGTCTGGGAAGAAATTTCTTCTGGTCATAGCTGCCCAGAAATAGCTGGGGCTTAGCGCACAGGTACAGGAAATAACTACCCTGATACTGACTGGATCCTGGGTCTCCCTCCTTCTAGGAGACCACCTGGCTATCATCTCTTTTGGGATGGGATTGTCTCTCTTTTGTTAAAAATGTGTTGCAAGGTCCAATTTTCATTCAATCAAGTGTTGAAACCTCAGCATTTTTCATGACATGGAATTCACACTTACCAGTCAGTCCTATGCAGGATTAAAAAGATGGAGAAAAATGGCATGTATGTACAAGGGCAACCAGACTGCTAAGGAGACAGGAGGCTTGGATGTGTAAGGAGTAGCTACATATTGGCTGAGAGCCTTGAGAGAAGCCTACAGACAGAGGACAGGGGTCCACAGCAGAGGCAGAGGAGGTTTTTTAAGCAGGTTCACAGCAGGAGGATTAAGAGGAATGCAATAACATTGAGAACATAGAAGGAGCACCTAAAGACTTTTCCCAGTAGCAAATTCTCCAGTTTTGAAATCACTCCCCTCAAGGGAAACCAAGGACAACCTGTTCCTTGGGGTTTAATACAGATGCTCAGAGAGTTGCAAGGAATAGTCCTGACCTGAGCAGGAGGCTGGGCTGGATGGCCTCCCTTCCAGCTGGATAAGGTCCCTTCCAGCCCTACTTTCCTATGATCCAAAGCATGGACAAATCCCTAGAGAACTGGACTGTAAGGTCCCAGCCCCAGCAGACAGGTTAGCTGGGATCTAGAAGGTCTTTTCCTTTAGTGCCCGTCTCTGTACGTTTGGCCAAGAAAAGTGACGCCAAGTGGCAAACTGGAACGTAACATGCTGCACTGGTTCCATTGGGGCTGCTGTGCCAGGACGAGGAGTAGCTAAGTAGTCCTTAGGTCTAAGCCCATTTCCTCCTCATGCTGTAAAATCCTGGGTTACCAGGTTGAAGACATTGCTCTCCATGGATGACTGCCACTTGCCCCAGTTCCTCTTGATCTCAGCCTGGACCTGCAACATCATACCAGGGAACCATGAGAGATCTGTATTGAAAAAGAGCTTATAGGCCTTCTCCCCACACTGGGCCCCTTGTGCACCCATGGGAAATGGAGATCAGAACCAGGACTAGGGCCACAGGGAGGTTCAGGATTTGCTGAACTTTATAACAAGCATCAGGCAGAGAAGGAGGGGGTCTCAGGGATACATATTACTGCCACAGTTTGGAAGGGCCTTGTTTACTATCCTTTTAGAGGTGCTTTGGTAAACTAAATAAACTTGGTTGGGATGCATGCCAGGACTGGGAATTTCTGTAATCACCCAGGCAAGCAGGGGTCTACACCAACCAGTCATCTGGGAGCACAATCTCTGTGTTGGCTACTGCACTGGGAGTTTGATTTGAATTGACTCCAGCTCTGCTGAGTCTGAGGAGAACTGGGTACACTGGACATGTGTGTTAGATTATGGGCATGTTTGTATTGGCACAAAGGTATATGAGGATTTGCACACATGAATGAATGCAAGTGCTTGTGTGTGCACATGGATATGTTTATGTATGTCTATTTGCACATGGCTGTATATGACCAGGTGTGTGCTTGTGGGTCAATCTGGTAGTAGATGTGTGTGTATATGTATATGTGTGAGCATGTGTGCAAACATATATACACAGTAGTGTAGTAGGTGTCACTCACCTCTCCATTCAGGAAGCAGTACAGCAGAGCGACCAGGAACCCCTGAAATATGAACGGAAGGGAAGAAATTTAACATAGATAAGATGTGGCTGGACTTCATACTCTTTGACAGCCTTGGATTAGGGTGCTTCCAGGAGGGGAGGTGGGACTCTTCCCTGTAACCCACCTAGCTCAGCTCTGGCTCTGGAAAGCAAAGGAGTTTGGAATCAGCCTCTGGGCTCCTTCCTTAGATCCTGTATACAAATTATGCCCATTAAGCAGTGGCAGAGAGGGGTGCTGGGGTGTGGCCTGCAGGAAACCACTGATATTTTGCCTTTAGCTGTTTATTTAACAAGAAGGGCCATCTGGCACAGCCATCACTGATGGAGGAAAGCAATTCTAGGTCCTGCAGATGTGTCTTGGGGCATTGTTCTCCTGTGGTTGCCAAGATGGCTGCATTGGAAAACAGTTCTTCCTGTTATATTCCACACTGCTGGCCAGAAGGGTGGAAAAAAAGCCAGGCCCTTGATCTCAGTGCCTCTGGGTTGAGATCCACAAAATCTCTGGGGTTTGGTGGTTGTGGCACAGCTTAGTGATAAGGAAACTCCCCTGAAAGAAAGGAAGCCTTGGGGACTAGTCCCTGCTCCAAGGACTGTTGGTGCACTAGACTGATATGTCATTGGAGAAAATGCATACAGAGCATTAGGAGCAGGGACCAGAACTCAGAACTTCCTTGTTCCACAGGAAAGCCCTCATTACTAGGTGATGGAGTCATGCTTACTCATTCTTCCTCTGAGCTCATGGGCCTTGCATCCTCTTCTGACTAGTAGCCCACTTCAGATGGCCCAGGGTACTATCCAGGCAAGTGGGAGATAAGTGTTTGAATGCCCTCTGGCAGCAAAGGACCTAAAGCTCAGGTCTCCTATTTTATAGGCAAATGCTTTAACTGCTAGACAGTTATCTAGCACCCCCTCCAGCTCTAAGTTTTAATGAGGATGGCCATGGCTGCTGGGCTTAGGGCTGGACTCATTGCTGTCAGCTTGCATTTGACATATTCCAGGTTCAGCTACTGAAACAGGCCTCTGGGGATTTGGGTGCAGGGATACCCAGGGTGTGAACCTCGAGTGGCCTTTGGCATGAGATAGGTGCTGAGGTGGTCAGTATTCCTCAGAGGGCAGCACCTTTGGGCATGGGCAGGATATTAAGCACCTCTCCTCATTAAAACTTAGGTGCTACAGCCTCCCAGGTGGCTGAGCAAGGACATGGGTTTGCCATGGATGAATCACTCAGACATAGGTGCCTAAATTCCACCTGCGGTAATCAAATGCTCTTTTGGATCTAATCTCAAATAGATTCCAGACAGCACCTTGCTTCCCACCCTTATCAGCTTCTGTGAATCTCTACTGGGAGGCTGAGTTTTAACTCCTGTATCTTCAGCCCCCTCTTCTTCTTGGGACAGCTGCTAAACAACTGATAAAGTCCACATGGCCCCTGTGGTCAGGTGGGCCCAAACCCAGGCATGGCCATCAGATCTGGAATGCGCACTGCTGGGTCCTCTTGTTTCCTGATTCTGCAATTGGAAAAGTCCCATGCCTCTTTCTTACCAGGCTTCTGCCAGTGAAGCTGCCTGCGTGCCACTCTGACCTTGTGCCCAGTGACTTGAAGCTCAGGTAAGGTTGTCCTAGCTGACAGGGAAGGAAGTGCAAGGAAACCTGTGGCTCCTGGCCCTCTTTATCTGGGCTCTGCCAGGCCAGTGTCGCAGGCATCGGTGCCACACTGTGTTTCTGTATGCCAGATCCAGAGTTCCCAGCATGCAGCTGGACCAAAGCTGCACTGTATTCCTGCACACCACTTGGGCCACATGGGTGAAACTGGAGTGACTCCTGCCCAACCCAGCCATGTGCTGGGGACTCAGGGTGGAGAAGGGGGTGCAGGGAGAATGAGGGGAACAAAATTTAGGTTGCCCTAACCTTTGTTCTCTCTGCCCAGGGGTGGGCAATTATTTGGGCCAGAGGGCCACTTAGGGAGTTTTGGTAAGCTGTTGCAGGGCAG